CTATTTAAAGCAAAACGATGTCAAACTATACCCTGGTTACTCTCTAGTCTGTACCTAGTAATATCTTGAGGCGCCCTTATTTATTACTTAGTCGGTCGCCAAAATTAGAGTAATAGTCCTTCTCGTATATTTTATTTTGCAGCTGTGGTGCCTTCGCTGGAGGATACTTGCGTCCGTTGGATTGCTAAAAACCTCACTCTCGTTACCAGCAGACAGTCATGCGGTACCGATTCCAAGTGCTTTTGGCTGTTCCCCAATAGCAGCTACCGGATATCCGCCCGACCAGCACAGAAAATCCTCCAGAAACTTTGCAAATATGGAATAATAAAGGATGAACACATGACTCTGTTCTCATCCCGATACGTGGATCTTATTTCTCCAGTCCTGAAGGAGGCGCCCGTTACGCCTGCTGCTTTGCGTGTTCTTCGCGAGTTTGAGTTGTATAATTTGACAGCCACAAACCTCAAGGAAATGAATCTCAACAGTCTTATCGGATGCTTAGGAGAGGACACAGCTGAAAACTTGGTCTCTCTAAATGTGTCCGGCTTATCGATTATGGAAAATAAAATACCAGTTGTGGTCTCACTTGGCCGCCTGAGAAAGCTACAAATACTAAATGTTAGCAAGACTAAATTCACGAATGAATGTCTCCAAACGTCCGTCAAATGTCTTCCACATCTTCGATTTCTTAATATCTCCCGCACGAACATAGACTGCATAACTGCCTTACTTCCTCTTCAAAAAAGTCTAACTGGGCTTATTATGCACCGACTGCACTTAAAAACTACCAAGGGGATGCTTGAGAACATTCTTAATGTCATTTTACAACTTCGCGAACTTCGTGTTTTGGATGTATCTTCAGAATCCCAGAGAATTGAGGTTCATGTGTCCGGTGTAGAAATTTTATGCTCTGGCCAAGCCCTTCCACATCTCACGCATATTGACCTTTGTGGAAATCCTTTTGGTTTATCGCTGGCGGATGTCGCGTAAGTGACTGTATTCATGAAAAATAACCAGGATTGTTGGCTTCTCCTTGAAATCACTTTTGGGAGTTTTGTTATGAGGATATTAGCTTTTTAATGCCTAAATATTACACATACTTGTCATCAGCATCTAAGCACAAAGGTTAGGTTTTTAATTGTATGCTTATGGTTTTTTTGATTTTCCACGTAGAAATCTTATTCAAAATCATCCTCATTTGGAATTTGCTGGTCTTGCGGCATGGCCGCAGCGCCACAGGCACGAATTGGAGGGAATATATCAACTGACATTGAAATATCCCCACATCACCGTATGTTTGACCTTTTTTATTATAGAATTGCGCCTACTGTTGTGATGTTCAGCCTATGTTTGTTTACGGTTGGCAGGATTCACTTTAAAATAAAACGTTTTACTCATTTGCAGTATTAATAACTTGCGCGTATATAAAAGTTCTGCACCGTCTCTTCCTACAGATGCTAGCCGACCGTGGCCAAAAGCCGCTGTTGGCTATTCTCTTGCGTAACAAAGACAGACGTCAGTACTTACAAACCGCCTTTCACAATATTTTTGAAGAGACTAGTTCACGTGAATGGCTCGATCCCGAGCTGTTAGCAGTAAGTCGCTATCTCATTGTTGTTAATACTTCTTCGTCGAAATATATGTTGGGCCCTTTTGAAAAATACGCGTATTTCTTTTGAGGGCATCGTTGACGCTTTTTGTGTTTTTTCCTGCGGAACCGCAATTCGCGTTTTGACTTCGACCCAATCATGTAGTCTTTTTGATTTATTTCGTTCTTCATTTTGCCCGTACGTAGTCACGTCCCGTTTGATAAGGTAACCCTAACCCAAAGAACTAATCCGATAAAACCCGTTTCTGTTCATGTCACAGTTAATCCGAGTTCGCTCTCCTTCACGCGAGCCAGTAAAAAATGCCTAATAGTTTGAGGACTCCAATGTTTGCCCTGACTGAGCAACTATCTCCCCTCAAAACCCGATAGATCGTTTTCATTTTGGCAGAGGTTAATTATCTGGTCTATCTTGCGTGCTTTCGCATCTTTACGGTAGTAAGTATACTGTTTATTCAAAAAGGTCACTATCGTTAAGACACATTTAACGTTGTCAAAAACTGTAGTGGACCGCCAGTGTCCCTCCATCTCAGTCAGAAGTCTATGCACATACTCAATCCCCTAGTCGAAAAGTGCCAGCTAAAGAACGTGGAAATTTCGTTAGCGAGACATCTTGCAGCCGAGGCAATCACAGGAAGTCTCAACGAGCGAAGTCGAAAATGATCTTTATACCTGAAGATAATGACACGGTGTCAAACGGTTCTGCGTGCATCCATAGAACTTTATTCACGAGCAGACTGGACTGACTGGCCATATATTCCATAAGTCATAGAGCATACAGCAGCTTTTAGGAATAACGACTATTTCGTCAGCATATGGGCTTTTTCTTTTTGCGTGGACAGACAAGTTGGATTTGAGCCTATGCATAGTGACCGTAGAGTCATATGAGAAAGGAAAATCAAGTCACAGACTGGGTTTCAATTTAGGTTTTCTGGCAGGAGTTTCCTTGGTAGTGGCGGAATAAAACTCCACATTTCCAGCTT